AGGATTTTGGCACAAAGTTGCTTGGGAGTTACACCAAGGAAAAAAGTACCCCAAGAAGCAATGGAACAAAATGTGCTCACTCCCACCATTGAAATCAATTTCTGTCAAGTTCACAAAATTAACACTCAAAGTAATCTATAAGTAGCATCTAAGTCTGTCAGAAACATCCAAATATAATACCACGATACAACTGCTGTGCTAGAGAGGCTACAGAAGCAGCAATTCTTTTTGTCATGTGTGGTTATGAGAAAATGGTGCCTTTCCATAGATGTTGTGTCTTCCTCAGGGCAGATACATGGATAATAAAGGCAACCATTTTGGAAAGGCATTGTATAGAAAAGTGCTCCAAGAAACATATTGAGAACCCAAAGAAACCGAACTCAGCTGAATAATATGTGTTGATTTTTAACATTCTCCCTGCCTGAAATGGCTTGAAGAGAACTATGTATGCTCTGCTACATTGCAACCAAGAGGAAAGCCTGCAAAAACGTCCGTCTCTTCCCCATTTAGACACTTGTCTGCCTTTTCCTTTGACCTCAGAGTGTTTGGACAGTTGTATAATGTTCATTGGGAAAGCAGTGTTATGATTTACCTTCTTCATTTCTTCATAGGTAAGGAAGAGAATATTGACGTCATCCCTGTGAGCAGACCAGCCTTCTACATGGTCCAGCCATGAACCAGCTAACACTGATAAGAAAAATGTAGTTCCACACAAAAGTTAAAATAGATAAAATGCCATTTGGCAGTGTTGTTTAGTATTGGTGTATGCTGGAAAGTTCCAGTTCAACAGGCTGGAATTCCCCAGAAGGGTTAAGCAAAGAATGACATCTTTTATAGGGGGTGGATCCCATGGGACATGCTGAAACCAGAGCTGTTGTGCCTGCTTTGCTCTCCATCCATCTGTCACCCTATTGCATTAGATGGGAGTGGCCTCTGTTGATGGATGATGCAACAGCTTCAGTGACTGTCTCTGGCTTTCCTATAAGGCAGCGGTTTCCAACCTTGAGTCCCTAGGTGTTCTTGGACCTTAAACCGCCATAAGCCTACACCACTAGCTGTGCTGGCCAGGGTCTCTGCGAACATCTGGAGACTAATGTTTGGGAACCACTGCTATATGGAATGGAGAGCAGTGCTATTTTGTCCATACCTTTTAGGCAGGAAAATATATTGGGCTAATATGGCACCTGCCTGCAGTGGCACAACAAGTCATTTGGAAGTGTTTGAAATGTGCCTGTTCTACCATGCAGGGGAGTGGGTATGTATAATTTTAAAAAAATCATACTTTTTGTAACCTTTATAAAAATAATTCAAAACATTGCTACAAATATCTTGTCAAAATATTCCTGTGAACACCATAGTCAAATGATGTATCAGTTACACAGTCCATAAATGAGACCTCTAGTCAGTTGCACTTGCCTTTATTTAATGCAAATGACAAACAGATTGCACTATGAATGTGACTGTCAAATACCAGGAGATTTGCTTTGCATATAAAATAGGGGAATTTAAAGAATTTTTATTAACCACATAATGCAAAGACTAGTTGAAACTGTTCCAGCCGATTTGTTTCCGAATTGGATTTATTTCCTGCTTCCAGGGGGAGGGGTTCTACTTTTTAAAAACAGAAGAATTTGAACAAGCTTTTCCCCATGCCAATTGTTGTGATATGTTCTTATAAAGATTGGGTCTCTGTATCTGTAGGTGTTGTTTCAGTGGTGAAGGCAATTCGGGGTGTGGGTGTGTGTGTGCAAAAGCAAAGCACCATGATTTCAATGTGGGGGATCGAGTACTAGTCCTGAATCCTGTCAGATTGTGTGGTAAGGCCTTTTCCATGTAAAGCAAAAGTTTAGTGCTATTAATTACTTAACTGACAATCTGAAAGTGTCATTAAAATCAACTTCCCCTTCTCATCCATTACTTAGGACCAAGTAACACATGCAGGTATTACCTCATCTCTGTTCACATACAATTTTAAATGATTGGCATGATAAACCAGAGATAGCCGGAGATGAAGTAATCCCTGCATGCTTTTGCTTTATATGAAGTGAGAAATGCCCAATGTTCAAGCTGGATTTCAAATACACCGAGAGACTACAGGTCATATTGTAACATTCACTGGCTATTGGAACACACCAAAGATCAGTCTACAACCTTTGCCTGTTTGGACCACAAGAAACTATGAGTTGTCCTGAAAGAAATGGATGTGCCTCAGCATTTGATTGTGTTGTGCGCTGTGGGCAAGAGGGAGATTGTGTGACCCCCCCCAAGGGGTGAGTGTATGCAACCCTCTAGAGCCCTGGAACTTGCCTATTCTGTCATGCACAGCCTTCACTACAGGATATAGCAGAAAAGAAGGAACTGAACATTAACCAAACCTTTAAAAATTTTATAAATATTTTTTTAAAAACCCAAATGAAACAGAACTGTATACAGTGTAACCTTCTCAGAACCTGGCCCACCAGAGGTTAGAGCACAGTATTTAAGAACAAGAGGTTTTTTCTGAGGACCATAGCTCTTGGGAGAGAAATGGGGAGAATAATACAGCAGTTCAAGGTTGGAGAAAGAGAGACAGCAATTAAAAGCACAAGCAAATAACAGGATGAAGGGAGTAAATTGGAGTTAATGAATTTGGGAAGGCACCTGCTGTCTTCTCTCCTTGCACAGGAACATTCAGCCCAGAGCTCTTAAACCACCAGTGTATGTGAAAGACCTACAACTCTGTTTCAGTTCTGAATAACTTGCTTATAAATCAGATGGACTAGGAATGCTCATATTTGTTTAGATGCAAGGGTGACCTGACATTTTGTTAATTATGGGCTTCATAAGTGTGTATTTAACAGAGGCCACTGCCACACCAGCAACATGTCCTGATCTGGTAATGAGACTTTTTATCTCTTCCTTTTTGTGCTTCACGATCATGTGGTATATATACCTGGTTGAGTTTCCCAATGTGTTTTAGCCGTACTGGTTCATTTCCTTCTATTTGAACTGTTGTGGCTGGCTAAACCATGGTACCAATTTGTTTCCTCTCTTGTTTTATGGGGCCTGAAGCCCCCCAACTTTAATTAATTTAAAAATAAAATTTAAAAGATACATAAATATGTTGGGTAGTGTTTCTTGATAAGCAGAATTCCCTCTGTTGCACAGGTGCCTCTGGAAACAATGCATTGCGCTCAGTAGATTCAGCACCCTCCAGCAGTCTTGTACCACTTGCCAGACAGTAGATGGAGTGTTTGTGCTTTAAACCCATTGACAGAAGTGAACCAACACATCAATATTCTGGCCACAGGAATATATATACATATATAGTAGGGCAGCCCTGATGGCTGCCATCCCCAAATGCCTCAAAAATATTAATCAATGCATTTTAGTGATTTTTGATTCATCAATAAATATTGTAGGAAAGATTCCTCTGACTGTCCTCTACAATCTCTCCAAGTTTGGTGAAGATTAAGTTTCATATGTCCAAGTTATACACCCAGAAAGAGGCATTGCCAGAAAAGTCCCTCCCAGGCACATAGAGACACCAAGATAAAGAGAAGCCTGCACTTGACTCTCTTCTACAATCCCTCCAAGTTTGGTGAAGATTGGGTTTCCCCAAACCAGCTGCTAATGGGCACTTTCCTGTGGGGACTCATTTTGTGGGTGTATGATTTGGATGTCTGAAATGCAATCTTCACTAAACTTGGAAGAATTGTAGAGGGGAGACAGGGGAATCATCTCAGTGACTTTGGTGTCTCTAGGTGCTGGGGGGAGCTTTCCTGGGGGGGCTATTTGTGGTTGCATAAAATGGACATCCAAAACCAGAACTTCACCAAACTCGCAGGGCTTGTACAGAAGAGTCTGAAGAAGCTTCCCTGTGAATTTGGTGGTTCTAGGTGCCTGGGAAGCATTTTATAGGGTTTTAAAGTTTAAAAATTAATTTATGAATCATTTCATTGACTCCTTAGAAAAAATGTAAATTCATAATTCATGATTCATTGATCTTAATGAATCATGAATCAAAACAAATCAACACTGTCCTCTGAATTTGCTTATTCAGGTCGACAGGGGACACAGGGATTACAAATATCCCAACTTCCAACTATCCTTTTAGCCTTTTCCTTTGTTTCAAGTGCAGTTATGGGACAGAGTTTGTTTCCTCAAATTGCAGATGTAATCTAGGGACAAGTGTGGCTAATATTTCATGCACCAGAACAAGGGTTCTGGTGCATGAAATATTAGCATTCTCCATCATCGGTTTCTCACTACAGTATGAAACCACACGTTCTTCCATAACATGATAGTTAATGGGGAAAGTTGGTTTGCATGATGTGTTTCTGAGTGTGGAGTAAAAATGTTCCTTATATTCTTATTTATTTAGTGAGGATCAGTTATTCAACAGATTCTGAACATGTTCACTATCTAACACTCTCTGGCGTGACCTTTTCAAAACACTCTGTTGTCTGAATTCTCCCTGGCCCTATTTCTGTGGGGACAACAGAAACAGCAGTAGAGATTGTGGTTTGCAGAGGCATCCCCCTCCAAATCCCCATCTCCACTGAGAGGACACAGGTTCTGCCTCACACACTAACAGAAGTCCCAAGATGAGGAGTTGGCTTAATCAAGTGGGGCAGGGACGTGGGGTTTACAAGGGTGTCCCAAGCCCCATCTATACAGTACTTTTTAGCCTTTTCCCTTGTCTCAAGGGCAATTATGGGACAGACTTTGTGTTCTCAAATCACAGACATAGCTTAGGGACAAATATGGCTTAGATTCCAGTGGTAGGGAATTCTTACCTTTGCCATCTAGGAACCTTTCCATCAAAACATCAAAGTCTATTTCTTCCAGTTTGCGTGAAAATTTGGAAAAATGATAGTATGAGACCAAGACATCTTTTGGGTTTCTGAGCACATAAATAACCTGTAGGAATCATTAAAATTAAAATGTGAGGGCCAAAAGGAGCTAGGTGACTCTATTTGGCCCCCTCGAGGGTTGCATGAGGCCCACAGGCTGCACGGCATCCCCTTCTGACCCAGATGATGTGAGGGTTTAACAGTTTTCTGTTACTTCTGACTGCCATCTTTTTGATTCCTGTTATGATTCTGTACAATGAAATTATTTAACAAATTGGTTGAGAAGAAAGAGAACCTTCCAGAGGATGAGGAACCATTTCCTTTTCCTTCTCTAACATATACTTTGAAACAGATATTTCAAGAGGCATTTTCAAATGGAAAATAAAATCTTCTTGAAAGATTCTTGTCACTGGTTTCTACTCTTCTCTAGAATCATCTTTCTACACTGCACACACACACAAACACACACTGAAACCCTTTGAATTTCCTTTCATTCGAAAAAATTACCTGGCAAATTCCTAGAAACCTCATTCTAGCAAGATTCTTTGAGCTGTTGTTTGTTTCTGTCTGTGATGTATTAATATAGAACAAGATATATCTTACAAATTAATTAAAGGGAACAAAAGCAGTGGAATGTCATACCTTTCCTTTACCATTTCTTAATCCTTTTGGGACCAAGTAGTAGGGCAAATGGGAAGCAATGAGGCGTGGTGATTCACGTTTACTGAAATCCACATTACGGAGGTTGTATTCCACCCATGGAATTCTGTCCATTGACTCTATCTCTTCAGTCCCATTTCGATGACCTTCATAATATATCAAGCTCAAAATGTTCTGGGTCCACACTGTGCCTATGAATGGAAACAGCATGGTCTTATTCCATCTTTGACGTCAAATTAATTTCTCATCTAAAAGCAAATGTC